CCTAACGAGGGATGACCTAAACGATAATGATGAAGTAGGATTTTTTGTTTATTATATAGAGTGGATTCTGATACGAGAGAGTGAGACAATCTGGTTTTGGCCGGCCTCTCAAGACAATAAAGACCATCCTTTTCCTTAGCAAGTCCAATCATCCTCCCCAAATCCTTTTCCTCAAATACACAATATTTCATCATAAAATACCACCTTACAAAGCAAATCTTGTGCGAGTTTTTGTACAGAGACCAGATTAGTGGATAATTTTGGAACATGGAGACATTTTTAAGGTTATGAATGGGATGATTTGGACATCTCCTATACCAGCTACGGTAGTTAGAAATCCATCTACTGTGGCAATTTTTTTGTTACTAGGACAAGGTGATTATGTAGAAAAATGTTTGGAAAGTGGGTCGTGGTTGGTGGCTCCCGAATCTAATGAACAGTGCTTACCTAAATAGGCTAATGAACAAATACTTGTGGGAAATAAGAGCCAAAAAGCCTTTCAAGAGTGCTGAAAAAAGATCTTAGCCTTTCCATTTCTTCCTGATTAAGGCTAGCTGGTTCTTGTTTGCCTTCTTGTGTTGGATCAACAGCAACATGAGCTTGTGCTTTGTCCCGTATTAATGCACCTTTCTGCCCCCACTCATGACTTGAAGGCTTGCCCATGTAACTTCCAACAGTTTGCTTCGTGTGCCATAATCTTAACTTCCAACAGTTCCCTTTAGTTGATTGGCATACTCGGTTACGAATTTGCTTCCTTGATTTGCTGCCATAGTCTTAAACTTCACCTCGTACACCTGGGACGCATCTTTTGCTTTGGAATAAGTTTCTAGAACTGCATTCTAGGTATCCTTTGCATTATCCATGAACATCATTGTATCACTTATTTTAGGAACCATAGAACTCCATAACCACACCATGTTCATAGAATCTTCGTCGTCCTGTGTTTGGTGTTGCCTCCACTCTTACACAAAAAAAATGACTACCCATGTACAAAAAAATTCATCTAAATTCGAACTTACTCGTTTATTTTTATTTGCTTTATTGGCAATAGAGTTACAAAGAAAGTTCCCTCCTCGACTAGAACTTGTACTTACTCTTTGTTCATTTGATCTCTTGTTTCTGTAAATATCGTCATATGTTATAATAGTTACTTAAACACAAATTTAAACTTCAGTTTAGCATTAGTGGCATGATCCTTGTCTAAAGGGGCTTTTGGTTAAGGGGAATGGAAATAAGAAAGAAAATGACAGTGAATGAAAATGGGTGTGAATTTTCGTTCCCCCCGGTTTAACCGGAATGAAAATTTGGCCTTCTTGGGGGAATGAATCAATTATATTATATAAAACCAAGCAGTTTCTTTTTATATTCAATCCTGTTAATGACTGCTTAATACCTCTAACTAAACACCCCCTAAATCTTCACAACTTAATGCATAAGATATTTCATCTATTAAACTTTCAACATTAGATACATTTAGTGAAGGGTTTAAAGCCGAGGCACATGTGAAAACGTGAGGTAATTCCATAAGATATTTTAATAATTTACTCCTTATGTCACGTACTACATGCAACAAGACATAATCACATTCATATGCTTTTAAATTAGTTGCCATCATTAATAATTGTGGGAGTAGTAAATTACTCGTTAGATAATATGTGCCCGATAAAAGTCTTGTAGATTCCTAAAGACATATTATAATATTCTTCTAAATTTGACTTATGTCATCTATTTAATAGATCATTTTTTAAGAAGTCTAGAAGATATGACGATGAGAAAAGCTTATTTAATATTGGGGTTTGATTTGGTATTTAATAACTCTTTATGGGAGCGTCTAGGCCCACAAGGCCCCTCAACCAAGGTGCAAGGCCTTAGTGAGCCTCGTAAATATGCCTAGCCTCGACTTTAAAAAGCACAAGACCTTGGCCCTTATGAGCCTCAGAGCCTAGGCGCGCCTGAACAACTTTGGGCAAAAGGGAGAAGGGCTTAAAGCATGAGCTATGAGGAGAAGTTTTAAGGTCTAGGTATTTATATAGGAGACTTGAAGTTCTAAGGACTGAGTTTCTAATATTAGGGTTTGACTTATCTATATAATACTCCCCCGTCCCAAAATAAGTGTCCACAATGAAAAAGCCACACAATTTAGAGAAGTGTAATTATTACGCTTTTAATGAACTAAATGACATAGTTACCCTTAATAATAGAGAGTAATTAATTTCTTCATTTCATAATTAAGGGTAGAACGAGAAGTATGCACTTATTTTTTTGAAGTGGACATTTATTTCGGGACAAGCTAAAATAGAAATATGGACACTTATTCCAAGGCGGAGGCAGTAACTCTTTTTCTAAGAAGTCTAGGAAATGAGAAGATGAGAAAACTTATTTAATAATATGGTTTGACTAAGTATTTAGTAACTCTTTATGAGGCGCGCCTAGGCCCACAAGGCGCCTCGGCCAAGGCACAACGCCTTAGTGAGCCTCGTGAATACGTCAAGCCTCGACTTTTTTATAAAGCCCAAGACCTCGAGCCTTATGAGCCTCAAAGCCTAGGCGCACTTGAGCGTGCTTCTAACAACAATGATCCGAGGTCGCATATTTTGAAAGAATCGATGGAGATGTGTGCATGTTTGAAGGTCTACTATGATAGCAACAAAAGAATTCAAGATAGAGAATCATTGGAGAGCGGACTTGTTGAAATCGAAGATGACGTGTTGGAGCAAGAGCATAACACATTCACCACTCCAAACGACACTACCGATTACTTAGAAATTACTGCAAAAGATGAAGATGATGAAACCCAAGAATATTGAATCCCGAAGAAACAAATAACTAAAGAAATGAAAAACAAAGATTAAGGACGACTCAAGAATAATGAAGCCCAGTTTTTTACGTGACGCAAATAAAAGACGAAGAGCACAGATTTCAAAACCCGAAAGATTCTAATTTATTATATACAATTTTATTTTATTGAAGTTCAAATGATTTTAATTTGATACCGATCTTATTCCATCTTTTTATACATCAAAGTGGTAAAATTAATAACTTTATTTAATTAATATAATTGATGGAGGAATTCTTTTTAAATTGTTAAATTGTTTCAATAATCTTAATAGTTTATTTGCATAAAGAATTTGTTTTTATAATTTGAAGTCATAAATTTTTTTTGGTTAGAGTTTAAATTTTAAACTTAAAGTTAGATTAGAGTAGTAGTTGTAAAATTACTTTTAGTACTTAAAAAAGTAGTTTACTCTTATATTCATAGTAAAACAAAAGTTAAATCCCAAAGCCCAGCCCGAAAAGCCCGCAGGCCCCAATCGGGACTTATTTCAGATTCAAAAGCCTGCCCAGGCTTTTTTATCCATCATCGAAAGCAAGCATTGCAGTCCCGGTCCTAGGCCCAAAAAGGCCTGGCCCTGTACCTCTTTACTAAAGAATACATGACTTGGTACCAGAGGACCGTGTTGTGAAGAACAAAGCACCAACCAACCTAGCCATATGAGCCTAGCACTAGATTCTCAAATTATAATATTCTTATTGTTGCGAGTGATAATATCTTATGTTTCTTATATATGATTTATTGTATTTTAATGTTTTTCTTACACATTTCATATAATGCATTGAATTTTTAAAGAAGCAAATGAATTTATTGCCAATGCCAAGAACTACCAAATTCTCAAGGACTTAATCAGATGACTACCAAAATCTCAAGGGCTCTTAATTTTATGGTTAACAACTCATAGGTTTTGCACATAAAACTACTCGTCGGCATTAATACCCATTCTCTACCAAACAATTAGCCACCACCCGTTACAATGTGTGTGGAAATTACATGGGTCCAACCTAAGTGACAAGGACAATTCCATGAGTGAGTTCTGGGGAGTAAAGCTTCTCATGGCACAACCTACACTACTAGAATAATGGCTGCATAGGAAGGGTCAATCAATATACAGAAAAAAGATATAATTGGGAGGCATAAGTACCCGCTCACTTAAACACTGAGTCTCTTGGTTTAATCTAGTTCAATGGTGATATGATAATAATTTTCAAGTTTGCCACTGTTTCCTACCCACTTCAACAGCATGACACTTCCATTAGATATCCCATTTTCCATGTACAGTAGCATAAATAAAAGTGGGAGACAGAAGCTCAGTCCAGCAGGTTATTCCTAATTTCCTACCGTGGCATCTGAGGAAGACATTGTTGTGGGCCCCCCCTCAGGTATCCAAGTTCATTTTAATTGACAACAGACAGGTCCTCACCCCATTGCAGAATGCTAGTATTGAAGAAGCCATCATAAAGATGAAAAGCTTCCTTTGCCTTGCTACCCAGACTTTTCTCTTAATCCATGAAAACATTGATCCTTTTAAGGGAAGACAGTGTGATGATCATCAAATATATGAAATGAAACTGAATGAAATGGTTGGTCCATTTAGAGCATCTCCAACAGATCCTCTAAAATAGAGAAAATGCAGGGTTTTTTGCTCCAACAGATTCTCTAAACTACAGAAAACAAGAGAGAAAAGATAAAATTCTCCAAATTTTGAGAACTCTCTAAAATTTAAAGCTAGAAGAGAGAAATATATTTTTAATTGTTTCCCACTCTCTCTCTTTCTAAAGTTTTTTTTATAATTTTCTGGGGGTAATAAATATATTGAATATTTTAATGATAATATTAATGTTGAAATCTCTAAAATAGAGAAGCTTTTGAAATTGAATGTAATTTATTTAGAAAATTTTAAGTTTTGAATCTTTATTTTGGAGAACTTATAGAGAATCTGTTAAAAGATGCTCTTATATCAAAATCATACCTTCCCCTGGACAAGTGTTTGTTTTAAAGAAGCTCCGTCAAAAAAATCTCCCTCTCCTAATTCTGATATCTAGCCTTAAATAATCTTTCACAACTCTAGCTTTCAGCATTTAAAGCCTTAATTCCAAGTCAGGCTCATCATAATACTTTTATCATTTTACTTATATCCAGATCATAAGATAGAAAACTATAATACCTCACGGCAGTTCTGCCCACAGAAAGAAAAGTCCAGATCATCGGAATCAACAGGCTTGTCATCCATCTCGGGGCTGCATGATTTATGATCTGCAAGAGAAGTAAGTTGTATTTCAAAGTTCAAATAATACAAGGTAATGAGCTTATAAGTATGCACAAAGACTAAAATGTCTTTTTTAGAAGAGAACTATTACATTTTTCCTCACAAAGGCAGCATGTAAGAAGTGAACTTTCAGTTTTGTCGCTAGCCTTGGTGCAATATCCACCAACTACTTCACAATATTTGCAGGCACAATTTGGACAGTGCCAATCACCTTGAGGAAGCATCTGAAATAAGAGAAGAGACAAGAAACCAATCCACCTGTTAAGGAAGCTACATATATAGTATCGGTCTATACATAACAATGAGGTGACATTCTCTTAAACACCTGCTTCGGGTTTTTTCAATATGTAGCTGGATTATGGAGCACCTTGTTCAGCCCCCTAACCACCCAATCCTCAGACTAATAGCAGTTTTCATGAGGTAATTGTAGACAAATATGTAACAACCACGTAGCCAAAAAAGTATAAAGAAACCAAACCACAATATATCCCACTTGAAAGTAGGGTCTGGGAGAGGTAGTTAGGGGCTGAACAAGGAACAACATTATAAAAATGTTAAGTTCCATAACAGATGAATTATTTCACAATAATGAAATAAAGGTTTGGATGAGAATCTGTAATATCAACCTGCCTATGGTACCTGCATATCTAAGCAGCTCAGGTGAAAGGTTGATGGGCAGCCATCACAGCAGATCAAATCTCCACCGTCCCCACATAAGCAACAGGTATCATCATTAGGATCATCACCATCAATATCTACAGCATGAAACCCCTTCCTTTCTGACTCTTCTTGTTTATTCCAAGCATCAATCTGACACTGCATCAAGGACTGACCAGACTCTACAAAAATGTTCTGGAAAGGCTTGCCAAGTTTGCTTCCTGCATGAAGCTCAAACCTTATAATTGTTACTATTTTGCTGCAGCAACCACAACGGATTCCATCTCTAGTTATCCAGCCTTCTTGCATTACCCGTGTCTTTCGAAGGTTCATATATTGCACCTTTTCACCCACAGAAACCGTTCCAGAGTCGATTAACCAGGAGAGCAGGGTTCGTTTTCCTGAGTATGGAACAAACCCATTATTTTCTAAATTTAGCCCCTTGTCAGAACCACGACCCAACAAAGTACGTCGACCAACTTTTCTGTTTTTTCTTCCATTTACAATATGAGAATTATTGCAAACAGTTCTCTTTTCGGCACCATCTTTCTGGGGTGTTTCCTTGTCAGAATTATCACTTGAGTAACCATAATCACTGCTATCCTGACTTATTTCCTTCAACCTGCTTTCTGATGACTTACGGCTTTGCCTCATATACGAACCAAGTTTTTTTTTGTGCTGATCACCGGCTACTTGAAGTGCAGACTTTTTCAACCTAGCCCTTTTAGACTTCCTACTATTGCCTTCATGACTTCTATTCTTTTGCATTTCCCTTTCCATTTTCTTCCGTGTTTGCCTTGTTAATTTACTAAGTATCTCATTGGGTAAAGGAGTAAACTCCACACCGGCTTTCAAACTATCTTTATCTTCCTTTAAGAGTGCATCATAAGCCTTAGTTATAGACCAATAAGCAGTTCCAGCAGGACTTATATATATAGAATCCAGATAATCTCTGTTCCGTCTTGGTCTATAATCAATCGTCCACCCAGCACCAAGAAGCATATTCTTAATCTTCTCCCGCAATAATTGCTTTTCTGTGCAACTAGCACGCTTAATCTTGCTTTTTTTGCCTTTCACTGAATTAGCATTCTCAATTCGTGTATTTATAGTTCCATCCCCAAGCCTCTTCTTATTAGCATCCCTAGGCCTGGAACCCTGTCTATCTTTAGCTTCCCGTTGATCACGAATATTATGGGACAAGCTCAGCTTTCTTTTGCCAATAACTCCCGTTGTAGATTCTTTCCAATCTCCAGCTTCTGCATCACCATTACCTCTATGTGAAACAGCCATTGGTTTATGTTTATTTACCATTACCTTCAAAACACCATTTATCCGTTGCAACCTGACAGGCTCATCAAGATCTTCTTCATCAGTCTCATTTGATACTGATAATGGTAGGTTGAATTCATCATCATCCATTTCAGAATAGAGATCCCTTTTGTTATCAACAATCATCCTAGTACTGCCACTTTCAGATTCCCTTTGATCCTCATTTTGCCTAACATCCTTCCTAATCCTCCTTTCATCACACTCATCAAACTTTAAGATATCTAATCCATTTTTTACCCTTTTCTCAGTTTGAAAATCTTTATTTTCTACTAAATCTTTTTTATAAGCAACTGATTCAGTATGGATTGTATCAACTTTTCGGCGAAGAGGGTCGGATAACTCATCACCTGACTCAGAGTCGCTCAAAACAACTCGGGGTCTCTTTCTCTCCTTATTGGAATTGAATAAATTCCTTGAAGATGAATCACTAAACCCTAAAACCCCTTCTACTCCATATGCTGCCTTCTTTTTAATAATCAAACATCCGGAAGTGCTTTTTGTCTTTACGACAGCTCCTGAATGCTCAGATCCCCCCATCTCTGTCATCTAATCAAGCGTAACGAAACACCGAATGCCGATATAATTCTATCAAAACCCACATAGCAAGAATATCCAAATTCCAAGAACTAAATAGACTTAATTAGGTTTCAATTTTTGAAAAGAAAAGAATACCAGCAAACAAATAATCTAGGAGATCGAAAGTGTAGAGAAAGCCGATTCCTTTTCGCCTGAAACTCAGTCGATTTCAAGCCGTAATCGTGGATCGAAAGATTTTGATTACCCAACCCCTGTTTGCATCGAGGGATTTTAGATTTGTAATGGGCGTGTGTGAAAACCGAAATACTTTCATCTTTTCTAATTTATGATTCTATATATTCTACTTCATAAATGTTCATTTTCCCTCCAATTTATCTATCATTAATTTTTTGTAAACGATACGAGATAATTTGCGAGCTAATCGGTTAACACTTGATTCAAATAGGTTCGGCTTGAATTCGAGCTCAACTCAATATATTAACGAGTTAAGTCAAGCTACCCACTAATCGACTTGAAAAACTCGTGAGATACTCGATTATTTTATATATAATTAATTTTAAAATATAATCAGCTTTTATTATAAAATTTGTAAAATATAAATAATAAAAGTGTCTTATATTTTTAGATATTTAAATAAAATTATGAATTTTTTTAATTATAAAAATTAATTAATAAAAAAAGTTAGTGAATTTGTCTCGTTAAAAAATAGATGGTAAAGAAAGGAGGAAAGGGTGTTGTAAAAAAAAGGGAGATGAATGGAATTTTTAACTTTGTGTTTTTAATAATGAAGTTTGAAATTGATCCATTTAGTTTTATAAAAGCTAAGAGAACACATTTAAGTTTTAAAATTTATAAGAGAAAGATCTTAAAATTTCATAAATTTCAATGGGTGTGGTTGGTTCGAGTTCAAACTTGATTTGAGTTGCAGTTCGAGCTTGATTTGAGTTCGAGCTTGAGAAATAGTTCTTGAGTTCGAGTCGAGCTTTGATTTTTACTACCGGCGAGTTTTTGAGTCGAGTTCGAACTTGGAAATTAGGTTTCGAGTTACTTGAGTTCGACTCGCAACATTTACATCCCTAAACCCTAGACGCAAGTTTGTTCAATATTTAAATTGGGTCCAAAAATCCAAAATTCGAATCGTACTCCAATTCGGTTAATAATTTTTAATCATGTTAGAGTCTGAACATGATTTGATATTTGGTTTCAGAGTTTCAAGAACTTTTTTTCCTAAAAAACACATTAACCTTTTGAAGTTTGGAGTATTTGTTAATCTACATTCATTATATTTTAACCGAAAACACCCTAAATTATTACTAAGGGGCTGTTTACCAAACGCTTACTTGGGTAAGTGAACATCAAGTCATATTACCTTACCGGATAAATATGGTAAGGATCAAGAATCTTACCCAGTAAAAGCGAGATAAGGACCAAGAGTCTTGCCCAGTAAGTAAGGGCGACGACTCTTACCATGATAAGAGCTTATTGGGTAAATTGTTGCATACGATATTGTTTTGGTGGTCTAAAATCTTACCCGATAAGTAAATGATAATGTTAAAACTTTACCAATAAACGCTTACCGGGTAAGTGTTTGGTAAACGGCCCTAAGATTAACAAATACTCCAAACTTCAAAAGTCATTCATTACACAGTTGTGTTTTCGTATAGTTGACACAGGTTTCACAGGAGTTCATCCAATAAGATCACTAAACAAAAGTGAATTGAGGAAACTAAACGAAAACACAACTAGTCAAGCACACTTCAACATTCAAAATACAAGAAGAAAGTAATCTAACAACTTGATAATGAAGAAACGCATTTGGTACACAGATGGGACAACACAGGCCTTTTTCACGTGTCATGTAAGGCACCGTACCAATTGCAAGAACAGTCAAAACAACATTCAAACGGCTGGTGCAAAAGGCATGGGTGTTCATCATGTTTGATATATGTCTGGATGTCAGAATGTTCACACATGTTCATTTGTGTTCGGATGGTCAGACTTTTTCGTATCGGATGGTCAGACTTGTTCGTATGGTCTTACAACACCATGAACTTATATGAACAATATTTGCATTACAGATATGCACATATTGAACACATGTAAACATGCACCTAAACTGTTATTCTACTTGCCATCTATGAAGTCATATTCATTACACAAGTTGTATTTAAAGTTAATTGCTGAATAAAAACCACCGAGTAATTGTAGGCGTATTGCGGAAAGAGAATTTCCATTATGACTTTTAATTAGTACCTATTTAGTTCCTAGCATCAAGCTATAAACCACCAAATAGGTTATAAATGAAGGATTTACCAGCATTATAGTAGGTAAATATGAAGAACTTAGTCACAGACCAAAGTCAGCTGTAACGACGATGGGGTAAAAATGAACGAACACTTGGTTCAGTAATGATCATAATGAACAACCTGTTGTTCACAAGTGTTCATATTGTGTTCATATGTTAACCAGCTGCATTTGTCAACATTGGTTCGCTCCTGAATGTGTTCATAATGAAAGACCTATTGTTCACAAGATGTTCATATTATGTTCATATATTGTTGATCCTCTCTCTCAGTGATTTGATGATAATCCCTTTTCCCTTTCACGTTGTATTTGTGTTTCTGTATTTTCAGTTCCAGCGATCATCACTGAGTATGTTCAGTGATCGCTGAAGAACTTGCATTGTAAATTCATCAGAGATAGCAATACTTCAA